ACCTCGGAATATCTAAATTAAGCGTCGGCGAACGGTCATCGGAATAGTCGCCGGAGCAGTTGGGGTGGTGGAAGTGGGGTGGGGTGGGTTAATTATATTATATTACAGTTAAATATTTAATTTAATATAATAATTGTAAAATATAATTAATTAATTCCAAAAAAAACCTGATTTTTACAATTTTAAACATTGAGACCTGATTTTTGATTTCCTAATTAGTGATGCTTAATGTTTGTGATTTGGTCATAAGAAAAAATTGTTGCAAGGACAACATAATCATTTTTGCTCAAGTCTGATTATCAGATATTCTACGAATAAGACGTAAAGTTGGCAAGTCTAACGATATAAATGTAAGGAAAACTAGTTTATGTGATTTTATGTAATTCAAGGATGTAGTCTCCGACCTTTAATGGAGTCAGCCAAGAATAATAGTTCGTGTGTGGAACTGTGACGAACGAGTCTAATTATTGAGGCTTATATTATGTATGTCCGATTTTATCCCTTTAGCTCTCAAAGTAAGACGATGACTCAATTACACAAGTAATTGAAGCTCGAGCCCCATCAGGTTGAAATTGGGTTTGACCAAGTCATAAATCAAATTTCAAGTTAATTAGGTCTTTTGAGAATGTAAACATACCTAGAAGTCCTAATTGAACACTAATTGAAACAAGATGAAGACATGGGCAATATTACAATGTCCAGTACTCGAAATCGAGAGAGAGAGAAAAGATTGATCTTAAAGAATGTTTTGCAAGTGTTTATAAACAATTTAAATCATAAATAGATAGAAAGAAGTGGTTGATAAATGGGTAGTACTCATCACTCCATCACGAATGCTCGATTTAATAATTTATTCAGTAAACTATTAGGAGCTCTTGTAGCCCATGCCGAATTAATTGTATTCTAGGCCAACAGTAATTGTTATTTTCTTCCTTTTTCTGAAGTGTGTAAATCAGCTAAGAGACAGTTTCATTGGAATCATACTACTTATGATTAGGAATTCCATCTAGAATTTTTATTAGTTCTTCGGAGAATCTCTTGACTAGTAAATCAAGTAACTCATCTCATTGGTGCCTTCTTGTGAGTGCTAGTCAACTACTATTTGTGATATAGATTATTTTTGTGTGCTCCTATAAGAAGTCCTTCCCGTGCTCGATGAATTTGTCATTCCTA